ACAACGGTCTCAACGGTCTCTCAATCCAAGAAGGAGAAAGCAATGAAAATTTACGCCCAGACTGTCGCTCGACGAGCCATGAAGAAGAACGACTGCCGTGTCGCGAATACTATCAGTATGAAAATGAGCCAAAAATATGAGGGACATTGGAGTTGTTTTATCGGAGAGTTGACCGATGGCTTTTCTTTGTGCAAAAAACCAATGCAATTCAAAGCAAAGGGGAGATTTTTTACTCTCTGGAAGTGTTGCTAATCCAACATTCCCAATATCAAATTTTATTTATTTATATTTAAGGTTAATATAAATATAAATAAATAAACAACTAAAGAAATAATGTGAGCAGAGTTGACGTAGATTCACGTGTGCATATGGAAGCATATGGTATACTATCTTTGGGGTGTCTATCAGAGGCTGATCGATGAAAATCCGTAAGAAGTCATGATAAAAAGAATATGAAAAGGTCATGGATTAGGTTATGTTTTGGTAACCTGCTTGGAAAGAAAGTAAATAGATTGTGTTGGCTTTACGAATTCTAAGCGCGTCTAAACGAATACTTACTTGCCTTGGTTGAAACCGAATTGGAAAGTAATCCATTTTGGAGAGAGATTCTTGTCGAATTTCTTGATACGGCTCCGAAGCTTCTCACGGCGCAATGTTGACCGTATGACTCAAACAACATGCTGGAATAGGAATGAATTGACTGCTGTAAGCGAGCTGCCTTTATAATTGAACTCAAGGAGGAGACAATGAACGAGACCGTTTTATGCAACATGGAAGTTACAGAAGAAATAAGCTGGATCGAACCCAACCTTCTAGATGCTTTTCAATTAGAATTAGTGTGAATTTGAAGTCGTGGTCTGCTTGGAAATTGGAGCTGTTACGAGTTTCAATAGTGAATTGTGTGTGCAGGTTCCTTCTAAATTCAAGGGACCTCTCTATGTGCTTTTGTATGCTCTTTGAGTGGAAGTCTTATGCGTCTCTAGTTTTTATGTTTCGTTTCTTTCATGAATTTCATGTTGTAATTCGTGACAGATGAGAGTTTTGATGCCGTGTTGAATGGGAAGCAACCAGCAACCCCCACTGCAATTACAGTCTCTTTACCGAAAACATGTGGTGACATTAATTTTTCATCCTTTGTCAAAGTTGCATTCCATCTCCGAATGGGTTACACTTATTTTTTATCTGTACACTCTTAAACGTGTCACCTTTGAGTAACTAGTACTAGAGGTTTGGAAGCAAACAATTTTCTTCCATTTGAATCGAAACTATTGATACTTCTAGAGTAACAAAGACAGGGTTATCTAAAATGTATGTCTTCGAAAAATTATACTTTTTTCCTGTCTCTTTAGAAATTTTGAAACATTCTTAAACGTAATGGCTGTTCAAGTAACTCCCGACCGTTCAATGAATTGCGAAAGGACTTTTCAGCTTTTGCTCGTGAACGTCTTGTGGAATGTAAGATTTCTACCTTCCTTCGTGTTGGACGAAAGGATTCCCCTTTCCTTGAGTGAATTAATAACCTTAAACAAATATAGAATTATTCCCGATATCTCCATCAAGTATCAGTTTCTTCCTTGATCCGTATTTACGAGACATTTGGAGAATGGCAATTTCAATTACATCTGATGATATTCCATTGAGCCATATTGAACGTTTTACTATCCTCCTGACAATCCCGATACCAGAGGTTTCTGGAGACTCCTTGGACTGATACTTCTTTGGACCGGTTTGTTGCATAATTCAAATGTCTACCCTTCCAGTGCCTGTGTGGAAACGTCGGGTATCTTGAGAAATAAAACAAGGACTAATTCAAACTGTATCAGGTTTTGACATGCAATAACAGTTATTAATACTTTGGTGGCATATTGCCCCAATCATGCGAAACTCTTCTGTGCTAACAACGTTTCACGTAAACATAATCCGTTATTACGAAGGTCTCCAATTCTATTGAAGTTACGACGGTCTGGTAAATTTCTAGCAACTTTTACATGAGTCCAGTAGACGATTTAGGTTTTGAGCGCCTGATAACTTTGAAGCACCGTTTTTCTTCTAGGGTTACTACTAAATAAATGTCACATGAAAGTTATCCATTTACGAGTGTAGTTTTGCTGGCGTATTATATTATCAGGTTACGCCGCGTACTTCGTACATCGTCAGTATATTGGGCAATTAATTTTCTTCCTTGTGCCAGATGAAGGCCAGCCTAGGTACAAGCCTTTTCATTCTTTCTAGGATTGTTCCAATTCTAAGTTCCCATTGCGCCCCCTCCCTCCCCCCATCCCCATCTACTGTAAATAGTGTAAAGCAAAAGCGTCTCCGACATTTAACCAACACATACCTGCTTTCTCTAATTATATATTCGAATAAAATGTTGGTGGAAATAGGCGGATATGATTCCAATAGGCTTAAAGTATTTTATGGAAATATTTTCCGGCTCTTTTTCGATTTCAATTATTTCTATGATCAATCGTTATTAATCAAAATTGTACGTGGATGTGAACTACAGTCACCTCAGAATAAACTTCTCCTGGTATTATTTTCAGCCAGAGGGAAAACTCATCGCGTTCTTTGTATTAATACTAGCAATGACTCATTAAAGTACCAGCATTCATCTATCTGCGAACCAGAAGTGTTAAATTCAATGAAAGAAGCCAATGTGGCGTGGATGATTAGCAACCATTAGTGAAACGGCGTTTCCTTCCCTCTATAGCTGCACTCTCTTCTGTTCACTGTCAAAATGGAACTTTTATTGGCCAATTGCTCTGTCTTTCTCATGTGAATATAGTCTCAGGCGTGCGAATTAAATATTATGAGTTGCATTGAAATCGAATTTCAATTATAACTTTGGCGTGAACTGTTCGAAGAAAGGTTCTGCTATTTTAATGAAAATGTGTTCTACTTGTGTTACTATGCATGCTATTTCTCTGTGGATGTTTGAGTTTTTTGCTACTCTTAAACTTTCTTGTGAGAATAAATGTGCTTCTTAAGTTAGACGCTCTAAGTGAAGAATCAATTATTTTCCCTGGAGAAAGCAGATAATCGTTCGCCAAGAAGAAGAAAATTTCCCCCAGAACTGAAATTAACAAAAAGCATATGGACGTGTTCACGCCAGGTGGCCCATGGAATCTTAAAATGCACCGTGATCAAGTTTGTGATAAATTGCATTCACCGAAAAGCTTAGACTCTCTAGTTTCCAAGAACATGTATGAATTGCAAAGTTGTTTATAAAAATCCGTGGTGCCATTCTGTTACTTTAGGGATGTTCGGATGACATATTTCAATACCCCACCATATCGATCAAGTATTGCTAACCATCGCTTCATTCTCAGCTTAACTCATGAACTTTACACGAAAATATCTCATACATGAAAAAATAGGATCTAGACGCCGATACGAAGTTTGAAGAAGTCTTGAATCTGGCGCAATTTCGGCACGATATACGGCAGCACTGGGAACGGTACTGGAGGAAGTTCTCTAAGCCCATATAATTAAGCGACAGTTCATTTCACTTTTCTAGGCGAAATGGTTCATCACAAACAACCCAAAGGCCACTTTTCCTCATCTGAGTCAATATTTTCCTCTGGCTGATATCTTTTTTCCGACAACCCCCAGGAGTGGCTACTCAGGGGGAGGGGGGAGTGGAAAAAAGAGACAACAGTGACATTCACATCTACCAAAAACGAGATTCAGTGTTTTCCACATCCCCGGGGAGATGGAGCTTCAATTTTACCGAAACTATTTTGTGTTGAGAGAAGAAGAGAGCTAAGTTTCTTTCCTGTTGATGCTCTCAGAGAGGAATACGAGAAGGCTGAATTCTGCTACGGGACAGAGTCGAAGAGAGGTAATAGGCGCTATTAAAGCCTATTGATGTCAGTTGGCAGGTCTACTTTCGGTTTAAGTCTCAGGGACAGACATTCGATCGAGTCGGACTATTATTTATGGAGGCTATGTTCACGCATGGGCAATTGTACGTTGCTTGCTCGCGAGTTTGCCCTGAGGATTCGATAAAGATTGAGACCGAAGCGTATCAATGAACCGAAGCAAGGCAAAACTGATGCTGACACCATTAAGGAAAACGTGGTGTATGAAGAAGGGGACTTCTTTGACCGCCAATTCCATTACTCGGAACTATTTTTGTTGCTTATGGAATAAACTTTATTTCGTTCATTCGTGTTTCGCGTTTCTTGGTCTTCCATGGTTGCCAACATATTTGCATACTCCCCACATGTGGAACTAATTTTTTTGGCTATATTTTCGCTTACTGGCTGGTATAATAATAATAAGCTCTGCCTACCAAATATCGGTCGCTAGGATAATGTATTCTCCCTGAAATAAAGCAGCATTATCGGATAGTTCTCTGTTCAGAAATCCACTGCAAATCTTTGAAAGAGCCAAAAAACAACCACTACGTACATTATTCGTAAAGTAACTGCTCGTGACCTTGATGAGTGCTGTCATCATACGAATAAACTCAGAAATACAAGGAAAAATGTTAAGCATGACGCAATAAGAAAAGCGTGCCATATGACACGCTTGGGCATCAGAGGGGGTCATTGCACTCAAGCGTGCAAATCGCATTTATATATGAAGATTTCGAAAACATAAGAATCTCATGAGCATCAACACATTCATCGGAAGTTATATGGAACATACCCTGGAGGACATTAGTACTTCCCCAAGTACGTTCTCTGACTGCATGGGATGTGTTCCTGCATGTCTCATGGATTCCTTTGCCGGATCTTCGTGGCATATCCACGATGCAGTCACCATCAATTCTCCAGCATATACTGTAGTACATTTCCCTGAAGGGCTCTCTGAAAGACTGATGTATCTTTCTCGAGAAAAGAATCCTATTCTCGGAGAAAAATAAATTGCGATTGGGGTGATGTTGCATGGTTTTATGCATATCAATCCGATGGGACAGCCATTTTCAAGCGAGAAGAGGGAAGAAGGTAGTAACGTAAATGAAAAAAGTTCGAACAGCGACTGGGATATAACTGATGAGGTGAAAATAAAAATTTTCTAATTGAATAATAGGCCAAGAGTTGTTAATTGGTCTTTTGATTGTGGGCCCTTTTTTATACGTTGAAGATGATATTGACATTCATGTAAGGGAGAAAGTATCCCATCTTCAGGGCTGAGTCCATGTTGTATAGATCACATGCACATGTAAGGCTCAACCGTTCAAAAAACCCCAGAAGGAATAAATAGTAACTTCACTCGCAAGCAGAATTGAATCATATAACCGTCATGAAGAACCGATATATAAGCACCTTGGGATTCCAAGGGCTGATACCTGTTCTCATGGATGCTCATTTATGCACGCACAATACAAATAAAAATCGCTTAGTGTAATGCTAAACCTTCCCAATCAAAAGGACAGTAATAAAAAAACGATTTATCCCATTCAAGATGTGGTTAAACTTCCCGCTAAACCTTTCATATGGGGCTCCACTGTCATCCTGCCGTGTCCTATGGTTTATCCCTCTATCTTAGATCCCTAGGTTATATCCTGAGCGCTTTCTACTGACTGAAGTGATCATCGAGTCCACCTGCTGATCAGACTCGGGCCTTAAATGTGCATTTTGGCCGTCTGTAGACTAACCCTAATATTGCAGCATAATTGTAAATGCCTGCGTAGAATGTTCCTCCTTCATGAGTGGGAAACTTTTATTGAGAGGGAACTTTTTCATTTTCTTGTCGTCTTGAGCCAAGAAATGGATTAATATAGGTAAAGGGGAAACAGTGCCTGTGGATTAATATTCGTATACCTCAGTGGATTTTGCTGTGAAGCAAGAAAAATTTATTTCAAGCCCTGCCCCGCATTATCCAGATATTTAAAAAAAAATCATCTATAGGAAAGAATTTGAGGCTAAAGGCAGCATGCACGATCATGGGATTTCAAAGAGGCAAAGACATTGGTTAAAGGTCATTTTCATGCGGGTCATATCACTTCCCTCTGAAACTAATTCCAGTAGGTACTCAACAGGAATTTCCCGTTGGCGGTCGTTTATCCTGCCATGAGGTATAATATCAACGACGAAGTCCACGTGAAAGCAAAAGGATCTTCGTATGCCGCAGTACATTCCATCAAGTTCCGAGGAACATTCTAAGCGTGTAATCAGGGGGCGTGGGCCAAGAAAAACCTATGGGAGCAAACAGACCTTTCACACCAGGGGTACTAAATTCAAACATGGCATTCTTGGTACATTGACCAACCACAATGTCGTCACGCAATACCACCGTGTCGCGCAGAACATAGCCTTAGCTATTCCATGCTGAACGGTATCTGCTTGAACCACGCAAATGTGAATGGTTTTAGCCGCTTCCTTACAAGTAAAAGCTGCGTTGCTCTGAATATTGTGAGATCGTCCTATCTAGAACTTAATCTCTGGCATAATAAAACCCAGACCCAATCTCTTATCTAATAGTAGGAAGTATTAGTAAACAAGTAAAAGTATTGAAATCATTATATCCTAAAATACATGTAAGAAAGAGGGCTTAAATCATTCCTTGCCTATCTTAAATCCTCTTATTAAATTTCTTGTTATTTCGCATATTCATCCTCTTTTTTGAAGCACTTTCACATAATTCAAATCCCTACAACATCTACGTGTCAATCCGAAACTTGATAAAGTGATAAAAGATGATATATATTCCCAAATGGCCAAACATCCTTATCTTTTGCTTGGCACATGCCCTCATTCAACAAGCGGCTGCAGCCATCACGATGAGTCATCACAGAGGAAAGGCACAGAGGTACTGTGTCATGTGCAGTCGTGCTCTATAAAACTGGTTAGAGAAGTGAGCATCCTCTCTTTCGGGACCCCACTGGAGATTCCTGTAATCCTTTCATGCCTCTGTGGAGCTTGTGCAGAGTGTAAAAGTCGGTCATTTGAGGACTCCATTCTCTTGGACCAAGTGCTGTATTAGTTGATTTTGGTTTATCGAGTCACTAATTTCATTTTAATCCACGAAAAAGATCTCATCCGAGTGGTTCACATCTCAATGGTCCTTCTACGAGCAGATCGTCCTTAATCACTCGCCTCGAACTATGGCAATGAATGATTTGGGCGCAACCGCCCTGAGAACTCTCAAGTCCATCATCATCATGGAGGTGAATAAGCCGATCGACAAGGACCTTTTCCTCCATAAGTTGGCAGAGAAAAATCTCATTTCAGAAGCTGAGGAGGAGAAGATAAAAGAGATAACGACTTATAGGAAGGTACTGGACGAGACTTTCTCCATTCTCCTCACAAAGAAACCGCTCCCGACTTACATCAATCTCCAACGGATACTGAAAGAAATGAAGAGGGATGACATCCTTGATAAGGTAGGAGCACAACGTATAGCTCATTGGGATCCGTGCCGCAAAAACGCACCGGGCAATCCATTGTGCCTTCAGAGCATTTCTCATGATGTTTGATTCTGTGTGAGGCTGAGGGAGTAATTCATTCTTGGGCACGTCTCGCGATACTGTCAGAATTAAAATATCGGAATTAAGCCAAGAGTTCTCCCGTTCTTTGGGTTCTTCCGATAATCATGCTGAGAAAAGGAGATAATAGTAATAAAAGGCACATTTAATAATATTGAAAGTACAATAACGTTACGGAAAATTTACTAAGCCTGTGGTTAATTATTATCCATTGATGTTTCAATAGTGGTTCTTACTGCATATGATCTACTATGATCTGGACCTTCCTGAGTTTTTAAGGTGAGAGATGGGAGACGAAACATGCAGATAATGTCATATCTGCTAATGATCAACCAGGCCAGTATTTTTGGGCTCATGAGACGATTTATTTGATGCTTCCGCATGTGATCACTTTTTCTTTCTCTTTGATTTTGCCTGCAAGAAACGATGCATCTTCAAGTTACTTTAGAGCTATAACACTCACAGTGCTTTTCGTAAATTATTACATATACTGTACATGTTAGTGTATCATTCAATAATGCCTGTGAGACTCTCCCTTCGAGAGGTCAAATCCCTTTTTCAGGAATTTTTCTGGAAAGTCTGAACATGGAAATAAATGACGATAGGAACTAATTGGCCGTGCCGCACATTCCCCTTCATAAATTAACTCTTTCACGTTCACTCCATTGTTCCCGGAGGCCCCTTATATGCTTATTTGCAATGCTAGATGTGATGAGCCCTGCCCTGATCTTGATTGGCAATTATGGTGAACTACGAGAGGAAATGAACCTGCTTACGATTAAAAATTTCTATTGATACAGTCGTTGCGTATATTAATATAATTTGACTGCAGTGGGTAATGCTTCACATTTGATTGACAGTTTTGGAGTTCATTGCACATTGATATACTAAACTATATTGGAACTCCAAGCCTGGGAGTATTTTGGTCTTTTTCCGGATTGGAGATTTCTTTTCATTTTACATGATAGGTAAAATACATGATTGACGACTCCATGATAGTGTCTAATTTCCTGGTCACCAACAGGTCATGTGAAATAGTCCTTACAGAACAGAATGTCCCTGCAAGCAGAAAATCCTCTGATCATGATTTGGAAGAAGGTAGTGCATTGCAATTCGTTTGATGTTGCACAAGGTGTCCTAGAATTTACTGAACCCAGTTTCATATCCAGTCCGCTCTGACCTAAGCGGCTGATACCTTAGCCTAACGCGCGATCCCTACGAGAATATGCCTTTCTAGACCTTTGACGAAGTTGAAAACCTATGTTCGGGTCAATTCTACAATTACTTATTGCCAGGGTAAGAAGGCTTCGATAATCCATTTAATGAGATTTAACCTGTACGTTCCAGATGACTTGCTTGCCTTTCAACTGAGTTCGACTCAGGGTGAATAAAACAGGAAGAAGACCCGGATTTTTCTGTCAAAACGCTATCTTGGAAAGATGGAAATCGGAGGTCTTCAAGATCCAGGGAATTTCTTACGAAGACGACACACGTGGAGATAGAGAAATCGAATTATTGGTGGATGTCATTGGTGATTCAATCACAATTATTCCTGGAGTCGCCAGATTCTTGCAAATCGCCGGATAGTTGACTATACGCTTGTGATGGTTGTTGTATGAATTTATTGGTGTGACACGGGAACAATGTGACAAATTAAAAAGGAGACGAATTCTCAAAAAGCCTTGGTGACTGAGAACGAAACCGAAGCAAGAGCTTGCTTTTGCAGGGTTGTGGCAGTAAGTTTTATTCGATTGCATTCGCCTTGCCCATCGAAAAGGATATATGAGATACTTCTATGTCTTAATGTACAAGCAGGTTCATGACTAGGTGTTGAAGGGTTGTATCAAGAAGAAATGCTCTAAGGGTCTCCTGAAATATCTCTTTTCACCATCACGAAGATGAGTATCTCTTTGGAGGCGGAAAATAACATTTTTCGCAAGTGTATGTCGTAATGTCTACCTTTAATACAGGCAAAATGTATTGTTAGTTCATTTACAGCCATTAATATATTTTTTCTTCAGCATGCGATGCCAATCACGCGCATTCTGTTTGTGGCGCCCGAGATGATTGCAAATTATTATGAATATGCACGACGTACCATAGTGTAAAAATAGGCACGGTTTGTTACCACCTAGTCCACTTATTTATTGAAGCCTCATGCAATTCCTCTGCCAACAGCGTCATGCAGTTTGCGATATGAAACATTCAACGAGTTGAAGAATTGGAAAATTGCTGCCCTTACGAAAATGTCTTATAGGATTCCTATATATTCCTTTAGGAATATATAGGAATCCTATAAGAATCCGATAGGAACCTTAAGAAATCCTATAGGATCCTATATGCCCCATAGTGTTCAGTTTGGGACCTATAGAGTCCCATAGGTCCTATAGAGAGTTGGGTTCTCTAAAGGACCTGTAGGGTTCGCTATAGGACCTATAGGATTCTCTATAGGTCCTCTCCCCTTACCCAAGGAATCATCTATCACAAGAGAGTTTTGTACGTCCCCTAATGTCTCGCCTTGCCTCATTGTAGAAATCAATTAACTTTGACAGTTCCTTATTTGTCATCCCCATCATCCAGATATAATCATGGAGTCCCGTGAAGAAATATGCCCTTATTCTTTTTGAAGACCACGTACGAAAATGAATAGACTCTATCCAAATGAAGTTTCAGTAAAGAAACGTGCTCGCAGGTTCCGTCTTCTATTTCCTTAGGGCAAGAGAAGAATGCCACTTCTTCCTACCGAAGGAAGTAGATGTACAATCCAGCGACGCATGTATGGCGCGGTCATAAATTATGCAGACCCCCACAATACTGGTATGAATAATGCAAGTGTCCCTATCATGGAAAAACCCCTTAATCCGTTTTTTTTTATTTACTCCGAAATGCTGCGCCAATATTAACCCTGGTCGCCTTTTCCGTCGTAATGCCTGGGTTTCGAAACCCAAAATATCCTCCCCGATTCCTATAGGTCAGGAGACCTATAAGACCCTTTAGGGATCCTATAGGTTTTTCGTGTTTCAAAAACCTATAGGGAAGTCTATTGGTTTCCTATAGGACATTTCCGTCATTTACTTCCAAAGTCTGAATTTTTCTGAACGTAGCATCCCAATAGGTAGTTGTGTACCACGTTTCAACTTTCCACATCACATTAATACGCAAGAACAAAAAAAATTACTTGCAAACGTCGGCCCCTAAAGACATGCCCCCATAAGACATGGATCTTACAACTTACATTTTTCCTGAAGTCAACGTCTCCGTAGGCATGTCCATGCCAAGTTTCAGCTTTCCATGTCTCTCTGTTTTACTAAAACAAAAATATTGTTACGGAGTACGAATGAGTAACGCGACTTGGAAGGCTAAAGAGGACAAAAGAAAGGCAAAGAATGGCCAGGAATTGAACCCGAGCCTCCTGATTACCGGGCAGGCGTGCTACCACTACACCGCGGAACCCAAGACATCTAGTTAACCCTCTCGATGCCATCCTAATCCGTCACAATATATATCTTTAAAAACTTCTCCTCCCAAAATGTGCATCCCCAGGGTATGTGCCTCCAAAGTCAGATTTTTTCTGAACTCTGCATCCGAAAAGGTACATGTGTAGCAAGTTTCATATTTCTAACTTCTCTAGAACATGGTTAGAATTAGCCTCAGTCCGTCATATATCTTTGTATTCCACCAAATCCATCGGCCACATCAAAACACCGCTTCAATCTCAGCTCACTCCATGAATTCAGCACAGCAATGTTTCCTAAATTACAAAGAAGATCCAGACAACGATACTAAGGCCATGAATCGGACATAACGCCGGCATGATATCCGGCAACACTGGAGGACGGGATCGGAGCTATTGCGCTGAGCCTAAATTAACGGCATCCAATTTCATTTTTTCTAATGGCGAAATGGTACACTGAGAGCCAAAAAATGGCACATTTTGTTACCTCCAGGTCAATATCTTTGATTTGGTAGTTCAATTTCTCCAAAAACTGCCCAGGAATGGCTACCCAGGTGGGTAAAAAAAATAATACTGGAACTAAATTCACATCTCCCCAAATCGAGATTCAGTGTTTTCCGCAACCCCAGGGAGATAGAGCTTCAAATTTGCTGGAGCGATTCTGTATTGAGAGAGTAAGAAGCACGCCCAATTTAATTCCTGTTGTTGCTCTCAGAGCGGAATACGAGACGGTTGAATTTTGTCGCCGGAAAAGGTTGAAGAAAGGTAATGGGCACTACCGCGCCCATTGATGCTTCAGTCAAACAAAGAGACATGGGAAGCTGAAACATGACATGGACGTGCCTATTGAGACTGAGTTCAGGAAAAATGTCATGTTTCAGATGCATGCATGAACTAAAGAAAGCTAAAATTGGAGCAAAAGTACCTGTTCCATTCCTGAGTGCAGATCTTTTCAAATATGCCCCCTCAGGGCAGATTATAAAGCGATTTGAAGTTAGGCACACGATAAATAATCGGAGTGATCATTTCGATGAAATCGAATATCGGTTCTTCCTCTCATAGCTCACACTTCGACAGGCACTTAATTATAAAAGGTTTCCCTTTGAAAAAAGAAAAGAATGAATCACTATCATAAACAAGGGAGCGCCGAAGAAGCGACCACTGCGAGTTTGTTTGCTCAAATGGCAAACAAACTCGCTGGTATAAAATATAACTGAAGATCCCCCTGATTAGCAGCACGCAGGCATGTGGATGTACTAGTAAAAGAAACTGGTAATGCACTTTTTTTATTTCAAAATAAGGTTTCAGCACCCAGAGCGGAGGAGGAAAGCAATCGCACTAAGTTAAACAAAAGTAAAACTTTGACAAATTAATATAACATAAGAACATCATGCCTATCAAATATGAAAGAAGAAAAACCTATTGAACTAGGACATGTTTTTTCTTGCCTGGAGGAACGGATGGCTCTGTTCTTGCTGTGTGAAGGATTGGTGCTCTGTAGCAGAATTGAGAATCTCTTATCCCGCCCCCCTTCCCGACAGGTAATATCTGCTGATTTAAAAAAATCTATTTTCTTCATTATTTCTGCCAAAGCCTCTCCGCTCCTGTCTTTCTATTATGTATTTTTTCATTTTTATGGTTGTGGAGTTCTTGCGCAACCGTCGAATATTCCTCCTGAGGTTTCGCAACAGAGTTATTTCTGCTCACATTTCGGTGGGAATCATTACACCTGCGGGGCGAATGGTGATAAGAGTCTTTGATTATGCGTACCGTGTCTCAGTTGTCATTCACCGGTGGAAAGCCAACATGATGACGATGTTGCTCTTGTGGATTCTCTTTGTTGGTACTGCCCTCGGGCAGATGATGGAGTTCAGAGGTGCCTGGGTAAGGGTTTAGCACATATTTTGGGGAAAGGATTATCCAGAGGGACCCAATTTTTAGCATCCATACACAGTCTAGTGAAATTCTTTGCTCTAAGTTAATGTTATCAGTGATGACCTGACTATTAGTACATGTAACCATACCTTTTCAGGTTGCAACCGTCCAAAACATCGACTGGCCCAGTCAACCGGGATTGGATAGTTCTGTCGCTCAATCGGAACTAAGCGACATCTTAGACTTGATGGAGGTCCTAAATATGAACGCCGTCTTCTTTCAAGTCCGACCGCATGGGGACGCCATGTACGAGTCCGATTTGGAACCGTGGAGTAGCTATCTCACAGGAACCGCTGGAGAGGCACCATCACCGTTCTGGGATCCGCTGGACTTCTTTGTGAATGCTGCACACTCCAGGGGGATTGAAGTTCACGCCTGGTTGAATCCATACAGGGGAAACATGCGGAGTAGCACTAATGACCTTCCTGATGACCATCCGTGTGTTGTTTACAATGAGTTCTGTTATCCATACGGAAACTACATGTGGATGGATCCAGGAGCAGCTGTTGTAGCCGATCAGACCTACAATGTCGTCATCGACATCACCACTCGCTATGACGTAGACGGTATTCACTTCGACGACTACTTCTATCCGTACCCTGTCGACGGTGTGCCTTTCCCGGACGATGCAACCTATGATGACTACCTTTCTGGAGGAGGCCAGATGGGATTAGCCGACTGGAGACGCGATAATGTCAATCGCCTCATGCAACGATGCTACAATGGAATCAAAGCGGTCAAGCCCAACGTCAAATTTACACTTTCACCGTTCGGGATTTACCGCCCTTGCGAAGAGAACGGAATGCCCTGTGACATCGTCGGCTTCGATCCCTACGACGGACTGTACGCCGACGCCCTGTGGTGGCTCCAAAGCGGCTGGGTGGACGCGATGATCCCGCAGCTTTACTGGAGAGACCAACCTGCTGCTCAGAGTTATTCCACCTTGCTCGAATGGTGGATATCTCCAGAAGTCAACACGAGGGGACGTCACATCTACGCAGGAAACGCTCTGTACCGGATCGACGAGCAAGACTGGCCGATCAGTGAAATCAGAAATCAAATTGAAATTTCTCGAAGTCTCAGCTCCCAACTTTCACTCGGCAACGTTCAGTTCAGTTTCAACGTACTCCAGGCTAATACCAAGGGTGTGACAGACATGTTCAGAAATGAGCTCTACAATCAGCCTGCTGTTGTGCCACCAATGCCTTGGTTACCTTAAATTGATTCTGAAATAAAACTGCCAGAATCTTGGTCTAATTCAGTATTACTTTTCGCTTTAAATGCCCTCGATTTGCATTCCAAGTGTTGCGAGGAAAACTTTGTAAATCCTTATAATTCAATCATGTTCGGCAAGTATTCCATGGAAGAAACATGATTTCCCTACCGGGGCCTGCCCAAGTAGCGCTCATCTATCTAGTTAGCATGCATCTAAATCACCAATCCATATCATTACGAGCCAAAAAATTGCAATGAAAAACTACAAGCCACCTTGTATGCTGGAAGCCACAGCCGGAGATGGCGAACTTATCTACTTGGAAAGAATCCTTCTTAGGCAGCAAAGCACTTATCGCTTCTCGTTTAGAAGCGAATTTTTTGTCATCACCGGCTTCTCGATCGAATCGTAAGAAGCAATTGCACTTATGCCTGAGAAGTTCGACCAAAGGCGACTGGGTGTCTATGGGTGCTGCTGCCTTCGAACAGGATTGCAGCTCCGTCATTTCTTGCAAGTTGACCGGAAAACAAATTTTCATACGAAGGGGTCATTTACTCTTAGAAAAGAGTGAGCGATTTTCGAGAAAGGGAGCGAAACTGCTGTTAGCAATTTTGCTCTCAAAAACGAGGATGTCATGGCAAGACTGGCATCATATTCTTATTAGATAAATGTTTGGCTTTCTCGAACGGGTTGCAACAGGAAGTTGTCCATTGTGGGACATCCTTCTCCCTGGCTTCCAGATGAAGGAGAATGAGAGCGAATAGCAAATTAAATTACAAGTTCATGTATAAGAAATGAGAAACTAGGACACAAATTGGTAAAAGAATGCTGAAGGAATTGAAATAATGCCTTCAGGAAGATGCTGTTTCTATACATTTCTAGTAAGATCCTGGAATTTTGGGAGACCTCAAAAACTTTCTTTTTCTTCTGGAACCTTCAATAATATTGTATGCATTCTTGAACTCTCCTGATAGTTCTTACTACTACCAGTAAAATTATACAGGGTATGGCAAAAAATAACGATGACTTATAAGTTTAATGTATCCACTCACAATGAAGCCACTTCTGCGAAAAATTTCCTCTACATATATAAGTATGGTTTCAAGTGATTCTGATAATTTCATCCGAATTTGCTGAGTTGAAGAAATTCTATCATTAATTGAAATGAAAAGTCGACTTGGAAGCGCAACGGCTGAGTCTCCAACCAATATTCTACTGCCATCCGCTGTCGTATGGCAGATGACATCGCGAAGCACATCTTCGGTTGATGAGGAACGTTTTTGTTCTAATATCTAGGAGAATTTGGCCTGTAGAGCTGTCACACGCACAAACATACGTTTTTCGCTTCGCCTAGCTACCGGCCAGGATGACGCACTCTTTACATTAAAACGGGAGGACCTCGGTTGCTTCGCAAGCGAGGTCCTTCTTTCTGAGTTAGGATTATATTCCCAACGTTCATCCAACAGGACGAGAGAAAAGCGCGAAGTCTCGCTCCCGCCGGCTTCCTGGCATTGTTCGTGAACGTTTTCAAAGGAGTGAAGACTGCAAGCCATGACGACACACCATATAATTTCCGAATTCTGCATTTTGAGCGATGGTAACCACGCTGTGGAGCTGCGGTAATGCATTGGTATGGGCTCCGTAAAGAAACCCACGTGACGACAAACTCACGAATGGCCCCGTAATTCATGAGCGAAGCTTGAAATACTTGGATTCACGGCAACTGGCGGGAGGCACTACGTTAGCGATGCTACCGTCCCCTGACTAGTCCTGCACCAACGACAGTCTCCTCGTCCATGTTGAAAATGAGACGAGAGCGAAACTGGTTTTCACTATAGGCCCCATAGGGTTCAGTTTGGGACCTACATGGTTCCCTAGAGAACCTATAGGTTACCCCATAGGGCCTATAGGGTTCCCTATAGGACCCAAAGGGTTCTGTATAGGACCCGTAGGGTTCCCTTTAGGATCTATACGGAACCCTATACACTCTTAAAAAAAGGGGAGCGATTTTCCTCAAAAAANTCCTATAATGAGACTAGGCGAGACATATGGCAAGGTACTAAACAATCCTACAAGGGACGATTCCAGGGAAAGAGAGAAGGGAACTTTTGTGTTCTGTGCGAAAAGCGAGACCCTCACCGCCATCTAGGGGCCTGGCGAACAACTTCAAGGTGTTCACTTCAATACGAGCGATGAGGGAGCACCTGGTGAGTAATAAGAGAGTAAATTCGAAAAGCTCACGGTGTGCTCACTATTTACTCCCCAAACGCTCGGAATTTTCTGAGTGTAGGCCAACTTCCTTTTGAAGTTCTCCTCTAGGCCCTAGGTGAAGGTAAGGAGTTCTCGCATTTCTCAAAGTACACAAAAGTGGCCTCCCCTTATCCTTGGAATCATCTCTCACATGAGAGTTTTGTACATCTCCAAATTTCTCGCCTTGCCTCATTGGAGCAAGCAATAAACTTCGACACCTCCTTATTTGTCATCCGTTTCTTCCAGATAGAATCATGGTGTCCGGGCAAGAAATATGCCCATATTCCTTTTGAAAACCACTTACGAGAATAAGGAGACTATCCAAATGGAGTTTCACTAAAGAAACTTGCTCGCAGGTTCTGTTTTCTGTTTCCGTAGGTTCAGAGAAGAATAATACTTCTCTTTACCGAAGGAAGTGGAAGCGCAATCCAGCGACATATTTGGGCCGGGTTCATACATTATGCAAACCTTGGCACTACTGGTATTAATAATGCAAGTGCCTCTACCATGGGAAAATCCCTAATAGGTAGTTGATTTAAACCAAAATGCTGCGCCAATATTTACCCCGGTTGCCTTTTCTGTCGTAATACCTGGGTTTCGAAACCCAAAAAATCCTCCCCGAATCCTAAAGGTCAAGAGACCTATATGACTCTATAGGGATCCTATAGGTTATTCGTGCTTCAAAAACCTATAGGAAAGTCTATAGGTTTCCTATAAGAAATAACTATAGGTCAAATCTCGTTACAACGAATTCCTTTACTACGAAAATATCACTATAGCGAAAATATTTCCAAGCCCCGGCCGATGGCCCTTAGTAATAGTACTTTGTAGATCTCGTTGCAACGAAATTCGTTACTACAAATAATTCAGTACAATGAAAGCTTTTTTTTCCAGTCCTGGTACGTATAATGGTCACTCCTCATGATGATAAAATATCTAAAATCTGATTGTTTATAAAGAGACGATCGTTTATGGTTCGCGTCAGCCCCCTTCTTCCCTTTGGATATTGAGAGAGTCTGAATTCTTTGTTTCCCACGCTTAAGGCATAAGAAGTGTTAGTGCAAGGAGGAACGTACAGTAGTCGGCGCTGGCTAGTAACCTCATCCCTTACAACACAGTGTACCTGTGCGCCCCATCCCGCAGACATGGCTAACAAGGGAAACAAGAAACTCCGGTAGTTTTCGTCAGAAGAAGAAATGAAAGTTGTGGAAGCAGTAGATTCCAGCAGGAAAAAAGTAGACGTGACAGAAGAATTATGCATCACTCCCTCGACGTTATCCACGTTCTCGAAAGATCGTGCCAAAATAGAAGAAAAGTTGAGGAAAGCGGCTCTGAGACCAAAATGAAAGAAAAGTTGAGGAAACCGACTCTGAAGCCAAAGCGGAAGAGAATGCGTGGTGCGCTCTACGATGACATTGACAAGGAAACACAAACTCTTGTGCAATCCAAAAATACTGATTTTCACCAAACAAAACAAAGTGGAAAAGTACTGTATCTGTGGTTTGTCCATTGGAAGACATACCTAATTTGCATACGGAATATTTCTTTTGAACTTATTTCGAGTAATATTCGATGCAACGAAATAATCAGGACACCCCCTTGAAGTTCGTTGTAACAAGATTTGACCTGTATAGGTTACCTATAGGACATTTTCGTAAGGGCTTAACGTGCTTTTTCAGCCTTTCCTGTGTGGCCTTTGCGGTGTGGGCGGGGGCCCCGTCCTGCATGAAGGACCAGGGCCTTTTGCCGAACTTCTTCTTTGTCCAGGGGACCACCACGTCTTCCAGAATGAATTGGATGTAGAACTCCTTGTTCACTTTGACTCCGGGGGACGAAGACGAGGGGAGTCTTGCCAGTGGTTGTGATCCCAGCCCAGACCACGACAGAGGCCGGATGTTGACGCCGAAAGGCTGTCTTCAGCTTCGTGGGGACCTTGGAGATTTCCTAAGCAAGGGCCTTGTCGTTGTGGCGGTGGTAGATGCTTTGGACTGTGCAGTTCTTCTCATCCGTGAATACCAAGATCTTGAGCGTGCCTTTTTTGAGGTCCCGGAGCATGTTTTTGGCACAGACCAGCTTCTTGACCTTGGTCAGCTGTGACAAGATTTGCTACTTCTGCAGGGAGTAGGGCTTCATCTTGAGGTCGTTTCTAACAATTCTCCTCATTTTGGCCTCACTCGTGTTGTTCTCCTTGGCCATCTGGCGCATGCTTCTCCGGGGATACTGGCGAATCTTGGGTTTGACAGCCTTGATGACTACTAGAGTGCACTAGGACCCCGGACGACCGCTCTTAGGAAGGCTGGCTACAGTACCAGTTTCGATGAATCGCTTCACGACTCTTCAGATGTTGTTGCTGAGGTTCTTGAAGCCTAGAGAATCTCCCCGTTACTCTTTCCGGCCTGGTGGAGCTCCAGGATGGCGTCTCGTTTTCCATCCATTGTGCCAGCTTCATTAACTCCGGTTTTTACTTTATTTACTCTGGTTACCGAACTTAAGACGTACGCGGTACAGGATCTTCCTCAGCACAACTTCCCGAGTGAGTTTTCGCTTTAGAAAGGTGAATGAACAAAAAATGTTAAGAATAGTTAACCCTTCGAAGAACAACAAGATTCTGCTCACTCCCCCGATGCAGCACTTTCACGAGGACTCGTGATTTCTGTAATCACGGCTAAGCAACGAAACCGGAAGGGACTGTTGTGGTTTCAACCGTCCCCACGCCCACAATCCGATTTCGACCTTGCTAATTCTAACTGTCCCTTCTGGCTCCTACCAGGAAGGAACAGAATCCGGCC